CTGCGACGTACGTTTCTAAATCAAACAACGCGTGCGAACTGATCGAATAAATTATTCCATTGACCATTATAATGGACCAACCTACCAATTTCATACCTATATAGTATACATATTCTATAATGATTTCTCTATTWATCATTATAGTTTATCACTGCTTGTCCGAATGTGATATGTGAATTAAAATTAAAATATTAAACGATTTAATATGATTATAATATTATAATACCTATCTACTAGCTACTACGCCATCTACTGCAGTCTACAAATTAATGCAGTTTATTCTTTTATATTATAATAATACTGCATAGCAACTTGCGCAACTGCAAAAGTACTTACTGCYAAGTACTAAGCATAAAGAATCAAGATTTTRAAGAAGAATTCGATACTTGTCGACAGAGAATAGTTACCTACAGAGACTCTTATCGAAGTCTAAGTCCGATACATGTCGGTACGTATAGGTATCGCTTCTATACATATATTGAACGTGTAACTTCTTGAACACTCAAAATTAGTTCGAATTAAAAATCTTGTATATTATATCCTGCAAACCGCGTTAGTGCGTTACCTACGTTGATTAATGTTATGTAGTATTGTAGTTATGACAGTTAAGTACATATATTTCTCTAAAGTCTAAATAGACAGAATATTGATAAGGTATCAAATTTTAATTACAATAACGATTTGTTTTTGTTTTGTATCTATTATTATTATGATTAAAAATTATATCAATACTCAATTTATAAATTAATATATTATGATATTTCTATATTGTATGATTTTTAATTATTGTAGTTTCATTAAAATTAACATAAAAATCGCTTTAATGAACTGTGGTAAATTTCAAGTATCTATTGCAGTAGGTACCTAATACCTATAGGCTATAGCTCTATAGATATAGCCATACCTATAGGTGATTTCGGCATTTAGTCGGAAGGTAATAGGTACACTAACAYAGTAACACGTAATGATGAGTAGTGGCTAATGAGTAATGGCTATAATAAATAATAGTACTATTAATAAGAGCTTGACAAAACTTAGTGCATCAACTGCATCATAATGGGCGCAACTAAATATGTTGTATGTACCTATATTAGCATATYGTATAAATTATGTATAACAGCCAAACCGGTATATTTCTACGATTACACTGTACCTAATATTGTACCCATATACCTATTTATACGAATAGGTATATAATAAAGACTTGCCTTTATAATAAACAAGAACGCACACTACGTCACTATACTGCACATCTCATATTGTAAATCGTCACTATTACCTAATGCCTACACGAGTTTAAATAGTTTCACCATACTTTACCGTCTATTACCTATATAAGTTTTCAGGTGCGGACTTGCTAGGATG